AACCTGTTGAATGTAACAATAACAACACAACTCACACGTCTTTTCTTCTCACGGCCACCCTCTCTAAAAACGAAACAAAATAATGTATGCATAATTAATACAGTGAAGCTGCATTTTTAATTATTGTTCATCTTTAAAGTTGCCCAGTGGTATTGTCCCAGGGTTGGGCTGGCTGCTTCCAATGGCATTCACTCATTCTGAGGAGAAGCAGCCACAGACAACAGCTCCAATACTCTCTTTCTCAGGGTGTCTGCACTCACAATGGACTTCCTCAGCCTTCATACAAAAGAGCCCGGCGCATAAAAAAGGCCAATTTCAATGGCATTCCTCCCCACAATCCACTCTAGAATATGAGCTTTTCTCTCTTCTCTACCCCCCCTTTCAGCGTTCGGTAATATATTACGATTATTTGGAATAAAATACCTTTCAACACTCTAATAAAACAAGCTGCAAGGTTAGATTGTGTGTGGAAGTAACTAGAAATGTGTAAAACAACAACAAGAACAATGCAGTAACGCCAGCGTCATTCTAATTTCATGGAAATAATATTTTACAGTAACAAACAAGGATTCGATGATGGATTGTCAAATCAGGGCCTACTCCCTCTCCTCCACAAACACACACTCACGCCTCCTGCCCTCCTAACCACCCCACCCCGTACCTCGCGTGGTGCGACATTAGCTCCCCTATCACATCCTCAGTCTGGGCTGGGGGGGGGGGTGAACCATTGTCACGCTGTATAACGGGCCGCATTGGCAAGCCGGCAGCTTACCACCACAAGGCTGCCCGGAGACAATGAGGGGGTTTGGAAAGGGTGAAAAGGAGAGTCGCTGTACGTCACATAGACCCAGGGCCTAATCCCCTTGCCCCGTATATCTTCACAGAGCGGTTTTGCGCCGCGAATCAAAAGGCACCCCCTTTTAATCAGGCCCATTTTCTCTTTCACTTTTATTCTGTCTCAGAGAAAAGGCTTTTGTAGAATAGGGCCCTTTAGTGTAAGCAAGACACAAGGCACAGCCTTTTGCCAAATGGATGCCTCTGGAAGGCTCATTTTGCTCATGTCGTGTTGGAAGTGGACTTATTTCGGGCTAGGTAGCTGTTTTTTTAGAGCACGTGAAAAGACTTGAGACGGGACATGAAAGCTGGCTCTTGAAATCTACACAATTGACTTTGAAAGCAGCCTTCTCTGTGTGTTCGGGTGTGTCTTGGAGGGTGTTGTTGGTGTTTTTTAATCTAATTTGTCTGTCCCTGCATCTAGAAGAGCACAAAACAACCTCTATTTCAGATGATAAATGCACAGCATTTGCTAAATGTCTTTTAGCAGCATTATTAACATTTCTTGTGATGACAGAGCTGGTTAAAAAGTATTAAAAACACTCACTTAAATAAGAACTTTGGCTTTGGGTGTCATGTGTGTTGGTAAGAGCATGATGCTGGCAAGGCCAAGGTTGTTGGTTCAAGACCACATGAGGTAGATTTAGTTGGCATTCCATTCAAGTGTCACTTTTCAGGAGCTGCAAATTATAACCAACACACTAACAGCACATGGTTTTTAATAATACAATTTTGGAACTAAACGCCTGCAGAATTTATACTTTTGGAAAAGGGAAGTGAAAAATTGATAGTTGAGGCGGTGATTCGGTCAGATTTGACTTAGGTATTACTGCTTTTTAGACACTATTTTTAGAGAAAACTGCAGTATATTGGTTGCCTATGTTCGCTACATACTTCAGTATGAGACTGCATCACTGAAGTTGTTTGTGTGACGTCAAAATGATGGGTCTATAGACAATCAGAGTATTAAAGCCATTTGTGTAAGTAGGTGCCCCAATTTTTTTCAAAACGGTTGAAAACCCTTTCCCCCAACTCTCCTTGGGGTCCATGAGTTGAATTATAAGAAAAGGTTTTTTCCCCATCATGTCAAGAGAAATTGTACACCAGTTTTAGAAATTGTACCTCTATGTATACAAGTAGTGCCCTCTAGTGTTCACTTTGTAGCAAAATACAACTTGAGGCCAATCAAGGACACGATACCCAGGCCAACACATACTGTATCACTATTGCAATGTTCAAAACCACCTAAAGACCAATAACACATACGTATCTAGATATAACCCTGGTACATTATCATACAGCAGTGTGGCCCAAACATTATAATCAATGGATAACTCAATTAGGCTACAAATCTAGTTTTACAAAGATGGTGTCTTGTATGGTAGCGAATGGCAGAATCAAAATGAGTAGCATGCATCAGTATGAGATCTTCTGACAGTGGCACAGAGTGTAACTGGATCCATGGCAACAGAACCTCAGGCCCATTCACTGTCAACCCACATATAGCCTACTTTTACACACACACACACACACACACACACACACACACACACACACACACAATCACCACGACCACTGCTGGGCCCATCATGCCACCCAATAAAACAGGTTCAGTCGAGTTCAGCCGAGTTTGGCGAGTACTCGTGCTGCGCCCCATTCAGGCCTAGTCAGTACCCCCCTAGATGGACCTTTTCTCTGGACACACAATCGGTGAGTTCAGGCAGAAACAGAGCAGCTCGCAGCAGCAGTGACCATTCAAACTGGTGAGCTGATGTCAGACGGACATGGGCCAATGCTGAGTGACTACATGGTTTGGGCACCTGGGGGAATTCAAAAGGCAGCTCTTTTTTGTTCTGTTACTTTCAGACTTGCCTCTTCAGCAGTCAATCACAATACCCGGCTTGTTGTTATTACAAAGGGATCTTTTGGGTTAGTGCTTGAGAAGTCTGTACAAATAAATACACACAAAGCTCTACAAAGAATATCTGAAGATCAGTGCCTGTCTTTGTAGGCCTTGCCAGCTCAGAGCTTAGGGAAAATGTCCTTTGTATTATTATGAAAAGGAAAGACTCCTCCCAGCACTTCTATTTAATATCTAATGGACAAATCAATGCCAAGTCATTTGTAATCTCATATGCTCATCATCTGTGTTCATGCATTAACTGAAAACTTAATCCCAACATTCCTCCAAGTTTCACCATCACCATCATTTCTGAAGATTATTATTGTCCCCCATAATGAAATCGGGCAGGGGACTGTGGATCTGTCTCCATCCGTCCATCCGTTTGTTCGTATGGGCTCCTGAGTGGCGCAGTGGTCTAAGGCGGTTCGATTCCAGGCTGTATCACAACCGGCCGTGATTGGGAGTCCCATAGGGCGGTGCACAATTGGCCCAGCGTCGTTACACTGATTGACCCAAGGCGGGAGCTATAGTAGGCAATTGAAATTTGTTAGTCACACACTGTATCTCAATTGGCCCAAGGGGGGGGCGCTGCCTCATTTGTGCGGGATGACATGTTCACTGTTGCCTTGTTTATTTAATGTGATTAGTGATTCATTTACTTATGTCCCTCATTTTAAGGTCAACCCTGTTACGTGAACTGAACTCTCCTTTTAATATTCTAAATGGTGAAACTATTCCTTTTTACATATTTTCCTCAAAAGAAACATTAAACATCTAATAGTCAAATCATAGAGTAAAAGCAGGTGAGCTGGTTCTACTCTTTTGGGCCATTTTCTGGTGTTTTGTGGTGGAAAACTGGACAGGTTGAGAATAACACATCAACCCTGTTACCCACAGGCTAGAAATGTTTTAACAAGTTAATTTATTTTGTGAAGCTTGCATTCAATTGCCACTCCCTGTTGGCAATTGAACAGGCTTCCATTCCCCCTGTCACAAGAGGATTTATGGGTGGTTTAAGAAGAACTCTTCAACCCTGTTATGTTCAACCCAGTTACTTTATTTGGCACTTAATAGGCACTTACTATGTTTTTTGTTTTTTTAACCTCTTGAGATGGGAAAACATGTTTTTTATGAAGTTGAACCAGTGCTTGTGTGTTTATGGGTGTGTGTGTGTGTGTGTGTGTGTGTGAAATCAGTGCAAATCATTTCTAAGGTGCATAACAGTCTCTCCGGTGCAAATAGTCTCTAAGGTGCAGGAAGACAGCTAGGTTGAGCTTTTCAGCAGTCTGATGGCCTGGTGGTAGAAGCTGTCTCGGAGCCTGTTGGTCCGAGACCCGATACTCCGATACCGCTTGACAGATGGTAACAGAGTGAACAGTCCATGTATCGGGAGACTGGAGTCCTAAACGATCAGGGAATGATGTATTGGGCCGTCCACACCACCACCACCCTCTGTCGAGCTTTCCAGTTGCGAGACAAATGGTCACCCAAAGGGTTGGTGCACTGGCCATCCGCGTAGTGTACAAAACACATGCATAAGTATTACAAATGTGTCTTGATTTTAGGATTAAAGAGACAGGAGTAGGATCGCACACACACACACACAGTCTTGTACAACTAACCTTGTGGGGACACACAATTCAGTCCCATTCAAAATCCTATTTTCCCTAACCCCAAACCTAACCCTAACCCTAACCCATACCCTTACCCTAACCTTAACCCTAGCTCCTAACCCTAAAACGAACCCTAGCCCCTAAACCTAATTCTAACCCTAACACTAACACTAATTCTAACCTTAACCCTAAACCCCCTAGAAATAGCATTTGACCTTGTAGGGATTAACAACATTTTTGTTTGTTTACTATTCTTTTATAGTTCGTTTATAGTTAAACACGTCCACTCACACACACACACACACACACACACACACAGGGTTATCACTTAAGCCAAAGATTGTTACATTGAGATGCTTCATGAACCACTGTGGAAATAATGATTGCAAAACAAGGTATTTTGTCTAAAATACTATCTTGGATAGACACAATATATTGTGTGAGGTAAAAACTCAGCCTACAGCAAAGGTATCACATTGAGACTCTGATGTATACGTTATATTAATGTTTTAGACGCAAATAACCGTCCTATTTTCTAAATTGATTTCTAGAACACCTGTTTGGATCAGATGACATCAAAGATGTTTTACATTTTACATCATAGGGAGGCGACAGACAGTATTTCTGTTTCCTGGATTGTTACTGCGCAAGCTCAATTTCGTGAGTCCTTGGATGATCCGCCTGCTGTAGGTTACGCAGCCTGTAAAGGGACACATACGAAATGCAGAGCTGGAATCAAGTATATCGCACTCTGGCAACGGTAAGGAAAAACAATTACATCAGTCGTTCAAGTTGTCTGGAATAAATATGCGTAAAAGTGACATACGTTGGAGAGTTATCTCGGCTGTTAATCAACGTGATTTATGAAGTCTAGGCCTTGCTAGCCACCTAGACTAGCTATGCTGTTAAGGCCCTCCAACATTACTCATTAGCTAGCTAGCTATATACTATCAGCTAGCTAGCTAGCTAGTACCAAGTTAGCTAGCTAACTAACTGTTAGTTGGCTCTTCCTATATTATATGTCCTCCCAAGCTAGCCTTACTAACTGCGTGAATAATTAATTAATAATGTCATTATTGCTTTGTAAGATAAATTAGTTAACGTTAATGTCATTACGAAATAATCCATTTTAAATTAAGCTAAATGAGCTAGCTAGCTACCACAGTCAACAAGCATCCCATGCCTTGCCAATGACGAAGATGACATCAAGCCCGACCTACTGACAGCTGTCAAGCACGCGAACTTGTTTATGTGGATGTAAAGAGGACCATCTTGCGCTCTGCGTGGACCGCTACCAATGTTACATAATTGACTGACAAACTCAAGCACTCAACTTGATTTGTAAAGTTATTTGATTCATCATAAAACACCGTTGTTAGCCAACAGCGTATATGTAGGTAAGCTAGATACATCTTCGAGCACTTTCACCAGTACTTGATAGCTAGTAAGTTAACTAAGCTAGTACTGTAACTAGCTCAGCTTTCAACGACCTTAGAATCATCACATACTCACTCACTGTAATACTTGCAATCCTGTTAAAGTTCAGATTGTATTGGCCTTTGCAGGATTTTGTCTCGCATTCTAGAGTATTGAATAAAAAACTAAACATTAACTGACTTCTTGACATGGATGACAACTACAACATCACACAGCAGAACCATATACAACACAAGCTGACATTAAAGTCCAAATCTGTCTGCTCACTGTCCCAATTTGTGTCCTCTCCTAACATACAGCGGAGCCACCAACTCCCGAATAGGCTTCAGGGTGCAACTGTTCTCTCCGTCAGAACATACGCTGACAAAGCACAGAGTAAGGCAACATTTCACTCCAACGCCCAATTAGCTAATCAGAGGTGCTGCTCTTATGAAACTGAATCCCAACATATACACAATGTGAATACAATATCAACTTGTTGCCCTTCTGATAAACATGTTCTTTGCTCTCCTACAGTTGATGCTGATGTCACAGTGGTGGGCTCTGGTCCTGGTGGATATGTTGCTGCAATCAAAGCAGCCCAGCTTGGTTTCAAGGTAAAATTAGGCCTCAATGTATACCTTCTGCTTCAATCGAATGTTCGCTCCCGTCCGCACAGGGCTCTGCGTCCATGTCTGTGCACCTCCCTGGAAAAGTGAGATTTCGGAGTATGTGCAGAGGTGCCGTCAAGTGCGGACGTTTTGCTATTGCATGATTTTGTTCAAGCGGACCTAGCGCAAGGTGTAAATAAGGCTTATCCCTTATTGAAAGTGATGCCCATCTTGTCATAATTGTTCACCAACTTCGTTTTCTACTACAGACGGTGTGTGTGGAAAAGAATCCCACCCTAGGCGGGACTTGTTTGAATGTCGGCTGTATCCCCTCAAAGGTAAACATTGGGAATGAGGAGTTCATAGAACTTTTGCTGGATCTTATTGCGCAACACTGTGACTGTGCAACTTCATCTTTGCGAGTTGTTGAATAATGTAACATGTCTGTTGTTTCCCTTGTCACCTTGTATAGGCCCTGCTGAACAACTCCTATCTGTACCACCAGGCCCATGGCAAAGACTTCGAAAGCAGGGGCATTGAAAGTAAGAGTCCACATCAGTTAGAGCAGTGGTCACCAACAGCCCTGGTCCTAGAGAGCTGAAGGGTGTGCACAGGCTTTCGCTCCAGTCAAGTCTTTGGGCATGCCAGTAACAAACATTTACTTGAGACTCTCGCTCTCTCTCTGTGCCAGTCTCGGGGATCACATTGAACCTGGAGAAGATGATGTCACAGAAGAGCGGGGCAGTCAAAGCACTGACAGGAGGCATTGCACATTTATTCAAACAGAACAAGGTGAGGTCTCAACTATATAGTTCCTCCGTACATTGGAAGAGAGAGGCCTAGTTCATAGCCTCTACCAGGCTTTCACCTCACCTTCTATATACAAGCCTGTGGAAGTTCTTGTCAGAAAGAGGCTAAAGAAAGATGGATGGTATCCAAGCCGTTAGCCCCTCCCAACAATTGGAATAGGCACGTTCAAACAGAGGCAGAGATTCTAAACCGAAAGCCAATCATTTTCAATGGTGCCCATTTTCAATGGGGTAGTCTCATTACAACCAAAAATAAAATAAAAAAATCCATAAAAAATAAATAAAGCATGCTAGCACTGTAAATGAGCTACAGTCTGGATAATTTCCGCTTCTGAAGAGGGATGGAAGGGGTGGTTGTTTTTGAAAAATCGCATATTTTCACAGCCAATCAGCGCTCCACTCATACCTATTTTTACAATATGAACTTCCCCAGGCTCTGGAGAACAATGTGAGCGAGGCCTGGAGCCGAGCGGAGGCTAAGTTCACACAAATTACATATTTGGGTCACTTTATGGATAAATGACAACTCATCTAGGCAGCATCCTAAAATATGGGTTAGTTAGTGAGATTTCACTTCAGCAGGATTATAAGCTTGAAACATCAGTAGCCTGTTTTGACTGTCTGTCTATCTTTAAATGGAGGTGACCTTCTATGGATATTACATTGTCAATGGACTTGGCCTTTTTCATGAACCACCTTGCAATTTGAATCAATCACTAAGTTTGATACCAAAGCAAGCTGTTTTGAGGCTTCCCCCTGGATTCTTTGTTAGAGTTTGCAATGAACTTGACCCTGTCTTTAATTGATGATGTAATGTGGCGGTTTCCCCTCAGGTGACGCACGTGAACGGCTATGGGAGGATTACAGGCAAGAACCAGGTGACGGCCACGGCCGAGGACGGCAGCGAGCAGGTCATCAACAGCAATAATATCCTCATAGCCACTGGCTCCGAAGTCACGCCATTCCCCGGGATCGAGGTACGTTACTGTACTACAGTACTCTTTAGTACTAGTTGGTAGCAGATGACCAGATGTTATTTGTCATGTATCAAAGCCGAGTCCTAACTCTCCTAACCCCTGTGTGGTCAGGTTGATGAGGACACCGTGGTGTCCTCCACGGGAGCCCTGGATCTGAAGAAGGTCCCTGAGCAGCTCATCGTCATCGGCGCCGGAGTCATCGGGGTGGAGCTGGTGAGGGACGACACACACACATACACACGATTACAGCATGGTCTGTAAAGAGTAGGTGGCAGTATGAGAATTCCAACTCTTGGGGGATATCTATTGTCCAGTGTAACATCCTGTTTGGCCTCTCGTTCTCCAGGGGTCAGTGTGGCAGCGTCTGGGCTCCAATGTGACAGCGGTGGAGTTCCTGGGCCACGTGGGCGGCATGGGCATCGACATGGAGATCTCCAAGAACTTCCAGCGCATCCTGCAGAAGCAGGGTATTAAGTTCAAGCTGGGCACCAAGGTCATGGGCGCCATCAAGAGGCCCGACGGCAAGATCGATGTGGCGTGAGTTCCATCCCCCGGTGGAGTGTGTGTATAGGGTGGCTCTAGCTGTGGATGGAAAAAAAAAATCACTAAGATGAATGTTTAGTTAAAAATAAGTATGTATGACCTAGCCCAAACGTAACCGTGTGTTCTTGTTTCCAGTGTGGAGGCGGCTGCCGGCGGGAAGAACGAGACTCTGACGTGTGACGTGCTGCTGGTGTGTATCGGCAGACGGCCCTTCACCAGGAACTTGGGCCTGGAGAACGTGGGCCTGGAGCTGGACAACAGGGGACGCATCCCTGTCAACAACCGCTTCCAGACCAAAGTACCCAGGTAGACCTAAACTATCACACCCCTCTATGTAATATACAACATACCCCAGGTAGACCCAAACTACCATTACACCCCTCTGTTATATTCAACACCTGCTTTTTCAATACACACCTACTATGTTCCAACCAGCTCACCCAGGTCTCTTTCAAAAGTAAGGAAAGCTTGTTACCTCAAGCTTTCCTTACCCATTTACCATTCTATTTATTCTATCTCCCTCTGTAGTATCTATGCCATTGGTGATGTGATTGCCGGGCCCATGCTGGCACACAAGGCGGAGGACGAGGGCATCATCTGCGTGGAGGGCATGGCTGGGGGCGGCGTGCACATCGACTACAACTGTGTCCCCTCTGTCGTTTACACACACCCCGAGGTGGCATGGGTGGGGAAGACGGAGGAGCAGCTCAAAGAGGAGGTGATACACACATCTCCCCAAACCCCTCACACAAACACCCATAGTTTTGACCAAATTAAGTAGCGGACATGGCTTTTATATATAATATAATCACTGGATCAATGCCTTTGTTTGGATTTCAGCTGCTAAAATATTGATTTGTGATTTTAAAACTACACTGAACAAAAATATAAACGCAACATGTAAAGGGTTGGTCCCATGTTTCATGAGCTGAAATAAAAGATCCCAGGAATTTTTCATATGCACAAAAAGCTTATTTCTCTCAAATGTTGTGCACAAATTAGTTTACATCCCTGTTAGTGAGCATTTCCCCTTTGCTAAGATAATCCATTCACCTGACAGGTGTGGCATATCAACAAGCTGATTAAAAAGCATGATCATTACACAGGTGCACCTTGTGCTGGGGACAATAAAAGGCCACTCTAAAATGTGCAGTTTTGTCACACAACACAATGCCACAGATGTCTCAAGTTTTGAGGGAGTGTGCAATTGGCATGCTAACTGCAGGAATGTCCACCAGAGCTGTTGCCAGAGAATTGAATGTTCATTTCTCTGCCATAACCCACCTCCAACGTTGTTTTAGAGAATTTGGCAGTACGTCCAACCGGCCTCACAACCGCAGACCATGTGTATGGCGTTGTGTGGGCGAGCGGTTTGCTAATGTCAATGTTGTGAACAGAGCTCCATGGTGGAGGTGGGGTTATGGTATGGGCAGGCATAACCTACGGACAACAAACACAATTGCATTTTATCAATGGCAAGATGACGAGATCCTGAGGCCCATTGTCGTGCCATTCATCCGCCGCTATCACCTCATGTTTCAACATGATAACGCATGGCCCCATGTCGCAAGGACCTGTACACAATTCCTGGAAGCTGAAAATGTCCCAGTTCTTCCATGGCCTGCATATTTACCAGACATGTCACCCATTGAGCATGTTTGGGATGTTCTGGATCAACTTGTACGACAGCGTGTTCCAGTTCCCGGCAATATCCAGCATCTTCGCCCAGCCATTGAAGAGGCATGGGACAACAGGCCACAATCAACAGCCTGATCAATTCTATGCAAAGGAGATGTGTCCCGCTGCATGAGGCAAACGGTGGTCACACCAGATACTGACTGGTATTCTGATCCGCGCCCCTACTTTTTTTTTTTTTTTTTTTTTAAAGGTATGTGACCAACCGATGCATATCTGTATTCCCAGTCATGTGAAATCTATAGATTAGGGCCTAATTAATTTATTTCAATTGACTGATGTCCTTATATGAACTATAACCTGTTGCGTTTTATATTTTTGTTCAGTATATATTGAAATCCCTGCAGGTATAAGAGTTAGCCACCCTCCCCAAATTGTTGACTTTCCAAAGGAGCCAAAGTATCGCATATGTATTATCAACACGGAAGAGTGACAGTAAAGCATAACGGTAACCTCAACTCTATTTCGCAGGGCATCCCATACAAGGTGGGCAAGTTCCCCTTTGCCGCCAATAGCCGAGCCAAGACCAACGCAGACACTGATGGCCTGGTGAAGATCCTCGGCCACAAGGAGACAGACCGGATATTGGGCGCTCACATCCTGGGCGCTGTGAGTCATGCTACCTCTCACCTCGGGCTCCTTAGCAGAGAGAATTTGGGCTATAACGTATGAAGTTGTATGCTAACTATGGCGACCTTTGACCCTTGTGCCTAGGGGGCAGGAGAGATTATCAACGAGGCGACGCTCGCCATGGAGTACGGAGCGTCCTGCGAGGACGTCGCCAGAGTTTGCCACGCCCATCCCGTGAGTTAAACACACACACACGACAGGGGCAGGAACAAATACACTCATACATATACAGTACCAGTCAAAAGTTTGGACACACCTACTCATTCAAGGGTAGAATAATAGTGAAGACATCAACTATGAAATAACACATATGGAATCATGTAATAACCAGAAAAGTGTTAAACAAATCAACATATATTTTAGATTTTAGATTCTTCAAATAGCCACCCTTTGCCTTGATGACAGCTTTGCACACTCTTGGCATTCTCTCAACCAGCTTCACCTAGAATGCTTTTCCAACAGTCTTGAAGGAGTTCCCACATATGCTGAGCACTTGTTGGCTGCTTTTCCTTAACTCTGTGGTCAAACTCATCCCAAACCATCTCAATTGGGTTGAGGTCGGGTGATTGTGTAGGCCAGGTCATCTGATGCAACACTCCATTACTCTCCTTCTTGGTCAAATAGCCCTTACATTTACATTTTAGTCATTTAGCAGACGCTCTTATCCAGAGCGACTTACACACAGCCTGGAGGTATGCTGGGTCATTGTCCTGTTGAAAAACAAATGATAGTCTCACTAAGCACAAATCAGATGGGATGGCGTATTGCTGCAGAATGCTGTGGGAGCCATGCTGGTTAAGTGTGCCTTGAATTCTAAATAAATCACTGACAGTGTCACCAGTAAAGCACCATCACACCACCACCTCCATGCTTCATGGTGGGAACCACACATGCGGAGATAATCCGTTCACCTACTCTGCATCTCACAAAGACACGGCGGTTGGAACCAAAAATCTCACATTTGGACTCATCAGACCAAAGGACAGATTACCACCGGTCAAATGTCCATTGCTCGTGTTTCTGGCCCAAGCAAGTCTCTTCTTCTTATTGGTGTCCTTTAGTAGTGGTTTCTTTGCAGCAATTCGTCCATGAAGGCCTGATTCACGGAGTCTCCTCTGAACAGTTGATGTTGAGATGTGTCTGTTACTTGAACTCTGTGAAGCATTTATTTGGGCTGCAATCTGAGGTGCAGTTAACTCAAATTAACTTATCCTCTGCAGCAGAGGTAACTCTGGGTCTTCCTTTCCTGTGGCGGTCCTCATGAGAGCCAGTTTTATCATAGCGCTTGATGGTTTTTGCGACTGCACTTGAAGAAACTTTCAAAGTTCTTGAAATGTTCCGTATTGACTGACCTTCATGTCTTAAAGTAATGATGGACTGTCGTTTCTCTTTGCTTATTTGAGCTGTTCTTGCCATAATATGGACTTGGTATTTTACCAAATAGGGCTATCTTCTGTATACCCCCCCTACCTTATCACAACACAAGTGATTGGATCAAACGCATTAAGAACGAAATAAATTCCACAAATTAACTTTTAACAAGGCACACCTGTTAATTGAAATGCATTCCAGGTGACTACCTCATGAAGCTGGTGTAGAGAATGCCAAGAGAGTGCACATGATTCCATGTGTTATTTCATAGTTTTGATGTCTTCACTATTTAATTTTTTTTTTTTTTAAATAATGTGATGACTCTCTAGAATCTGACCTTATTGCCATGATCTCAATAAGTTATAGCACAATATATTTCAAATCAGGTAATTGCACATTTCAGTCTGAAGGAAGTATGCTTTGGAGTGATTGAAATGCATCAGGAAGGTATTGGGAATTTCAGGAAAACATCAGGGATGATCAAACAATCTTATGTATGATCGTTTGTGGAGAATCAATTTAGTTCCCTCAGTTATTCTGTACAGATTCATCTCTAATTTCTAACGAGTCCTGCACCGCTTGTATCATAGGTTGAAACAGAAAACATGCACATGTTCCATAGTCTTAGTTTTCAGGGATGGGGTCATTGTCGGTAATAGATTCAACCGTTCAAAATCTAGAGGTAAATTTGTAGGAAGAAAATTATTTGAAGATGTGCTAGAATCGCTTTTACTGCTCCGTTTGTCCCAGCCCCTAGTAAGGTTATTCAAGTAACCACGGTTCTGAAGTAAGCGGCGCATTCAGCTGACTGAGGAAGACGCAACACATTCTTTCAATCATTGCGCGGATCTCGCGGCAATAATATAAGGCTGTTAGTGGCTAGGCCCTATATCATTCAAATGCACACACATCCACATTTGTGGAACCACACCACCCACCTGTCAATCTAACCTCCTTTTCTTCCATCCATCCCTCTTTTCCAGACTGTGTCCGAGGCCTTCAGAGAAGCAAACCTCGCAGCCTCCTTCGGGAAAGCTATCAACTTTTAACTGCCGTCTTAGCTCTCACAGCTGTGTACATAACCGTTCTGTCCACGACGTCCCCAACCAAGAAATATCTGTCCACAAGCAACGCACACACTCTAGGAGGGGGGCACGGAATGTACTGTGACCCCCTCTGCTCCGATTAGGGGGCTCCTCTGTATACATACATAGAAAACAAAGACAAACCTTGTACCACGTTAAGTATGTTATTTAAATGTTCTCAATAAACAGGTTTGGGTGGTAAAAATGGACCGGAGATCAGTCTTTTTGACTTTCTACATTGGAGGTGTCTTGGATGTTGCACACTGCAAAGGTTCGCTGCTATATCAAATAACAAACTATATATAGTCGCAGTATATCTAGAGTTTTTCCAACACCACTTTCTTATTAGTACAGTGCTCAGAGATATATATAAAATAGGTTGGTTTGGGTGGAATACTGCTGTTTTTAACAATAAGAGATGAGTCATGACTGAGTTTTAACACTGAAGCAAAACAACTTTTCAGTCGGTGTAAAGAGGAGGTTGGAAAGGCCAATGCAGCAACTTGCTTGTATGAATTGCAATACTTATTCAAATATGGCTGTGTTCTGTCCTTCTATGTGTGTGTATACATATATATATATATCTTGCTTAACTCAGAGCTCCTCAAAACCAATAAATGCGGTAACGATTCAAGTCTAGTGATGTGTGATGCATTGAAGTGGTGTTCAGTGCAATGTGTGGAACAGCAGAGGGACCAACACCAAATCAAATTTTATTTGTCACATGCGCCGAATACAACAGGTGTAGATCTTACAGTGAAATGCTTACTTACAAGCCCTTAACCAACAATGCAGTTTTAAGAAAAATAAGTTAAGTAAAAAATAGATACAGTGAAGGAAAAAAGTATTTGATCCCCTGTTGATTTTGTACGTTTGCCCACTGACAAAGAAATGATCAGTCTATAATTTTAATGGTAGGTTTATTTGAACAGTGAGACAGAATAACAAAAATATCCAGAAAAACGCATGTCAAAAATGTTATAAATTGATATGCATTTTAATGAGGGAAATAAATATTTGACCCCCTCTTAATCAGAAATATTTCTGGCTCCCAGGTGTCTTTTATACAGATAACGAGCTGAGATTAGGAGCACACTCTTAAAGGGAGTGCTCCTAATCTCAGTTTGTTACCTGTATAAAAGACACCTGTCCACAGGAGCAATCAATCAATCAGATTCCAAACTCTCCACCATGGCCAAGACAAAAGAGCTCTCCAAGGATGTCAGGGACAAGATTGTAGACCTACACAAGGCTGGAATGGGCTACAAGACCATCGCCAAGCAGCTTGGTGAGAAGGTGACAACAGTTGGTGCTATTATTCGCAAATGGAAGAAACACAAAATAACTAAATCTCCCTCGGCCTGGGGCTCCATGCAATATCTCACCTCGTGGAGTTGCAATGACCATGAGAACGGTGAGGAATCAGCCCAGAACTACACGCGAGGGTCTTGTCAATGATCTCTGCTTCATCTGTATAGTAAAGGGCATTGCATAAGGTTATTTTCACAAGTCACTGCTAGTCTGTTTCATTATGCCAGCGCCTGTATCTTTTTGTTTTTGTGTCTGACTTTGTGCCAGTCCTTTGCTTTTGATTTATGTCTGTATTCATAATTGGTTGTGGCTCTCTGAGTGTGTGTGTGTGTGTGTCAGCACCATGCGTTTCAGTTTAAGCAGAGTAAAGGCCTCTGCGCCTTTATTTGTTTGATTTAATGACAGCTTGTGTATATCTGTCAATCACAAATCACAAATCCTTTTAAGTCTTTAACTGTTGACATCCTGTTGTCTGACACAAGCCTCACACACACTTTTTCCATTTACACTGGCTTTCAGTCTGCCTATTTTCGGTTATGTATGGTATGGTAATGTCACGTCTCATGTTTCAAAATCCTGTCTGCAACTGTGTTTCTTGTCAGGCTGATATTTGCAAAAGCCTGGTGCTTTTCAGGGCACACAATCTCTGCTGCCTTCATCATGCATGTTTTTACAAATTCACCCTCACTAAATGGTTTTGAAGCCACTGCGATTTCATTAGCAATGAGGTAGCTAGCTTTCACTGCAGCGTCACTGATGTCTCGGCTGTGAGTAAACACAGACTGCTGTTTCTTCAGACCCACCAACAGTTCATTCACCTTCTCTCTTCTCCGCTGTCCTTGAAAGTTGTCATATTTGTCGGCATGAAGACTCACATAGTGGCGACGAAGGTTATATTCTTTCAGCACTGCAACATGCTGTGAACACACCAAACATACAGCTTTCCCATTCAATTCCGTGAATAAATAGAAGGATGACAATTTTTCTTGGAACACTCTGCACTCTGCGTCCACTTTTCTCTTTTTTGACAGAGACATATTGGGGCAATGAGGGTGCCAAAGCACATAATGTTAAAAGTAGAAGCCGTAATAAATATCGCGGGCAAAACAAAGTAGCTCATCCGGACTGGCTGCACTTGCTTGACCTATTTGCTCTGGCCCGGTATAAACAGTTTGCTTGCTTAACACAATTGCTATTGCGCCATCCAGTGGACACAATTGGAACAGCAGTTTATTTTATTGAAAAATTGCAGCTCATTTTTATACTTTACAAAATCATCTTGCGGGCCGGATTAAACCCGTTTGCGGGCCTGATCCGGCCCGCGGGCCGGACGTTTGACACCCCTGCTCTACGTTTTTCTGAATCTCTCCACATTGCTTCACAGGCTAAATGTTATTTTGAAGCTGCATGCTTATTTAAGCCCTTGCCTGAAATCTCTTTTCCTGTCTCTCTACGTTTTTCTGAATCTCTCCACATTGCTTCACAGGCTAAATGTTCTTTTGAAGCTGCATGCTTATTTAAGCCCTTGCCTGTTCCAATTGCATGCTTCCAATCATTAAATCCCTTAATGGAGAAGTTCGCGTCCGATGATACAGATTTGAATTTCCTGCACGCATAACAAAATGCGGAGTCCTTTTCCACCAAGTACTCAAGCCAGTCCCTGTTCAAATACCAGCTAGAGGAAAATGATCGTTTTTTTTAACCAAACATTTTGACTAAATATTTCCCCAACACAACCTGTTTGGGTTTGTCCATGCCGAGGTCACTCATACCCACTGATTCAACAGGCAGTTGTGGCCCAAATGCTGCCCCGGACTCCACGGAGCTACTAGCATCAGGCTCAGACTGTCGTCCAGGGTCTCCTTCTCCAACTACAACATCAGGAGGCGTCGGTGTCGTATCCAATTTGGCAGAGGAGACTGTTGGTGGGCTTTTCAACCACTTACGGATATATATGACGAACTGAAGCGAGTAAGCCGGCGAAAACTCATCCAGCTTTCAAAAATGCGCGGTAACTGTTGAGCGGCTACACTGACGTAGGATACGTCACGTACGTAGCCTAACTTTCTTTTTATTAAGGCCGAGATAGGCTGTTGCAGTGTAGATTCCCATCAATCAAACAAAATCACACCATTGTTTCTTTATATTTTTAAAGTTTTAATGATAAAGAAGGCAACATTAATGCAACACAAAATGAGCAACTATTATAATATATATATATATTTTTTTGTTGACATTTACATTTATGTCATTTAGCAGACGCTCTTATCCAGAGCGACTTACAAAATTGGTGCATTCACCTTACAGCCAGTGGGATAACCACTTTACAACACATTTTTTATTTTTTTTGTGGGGTGAGGTAAGGGGGGGTAGAAGGATTACTTTATCCTATCCCAGGTATTCCTTAAAGACACATTTGGGGAACCAAAACCACCCCCCTGTAAATCTAACCCCTTTTTCCCTTTCCATCCTTTCCCTTTTTTAAAGACTGTTCCGGGGGCCTTCAGAAAGAAAACCCTTCCCGCCCCTTGGGGAAAGCAAATCAACTTTTCTGCCGTCTTAGCTTTTCACCGCGGGGACAAAACCGTTTTGTCCACGACGCCCCCAAACCAAAAAATTTTCGGGTCCACAAGCAACGCCCCACACTCTAGGGGGGGGGCCCAACGGAATGTCTGGACCCCTCTGCTCGATTAGGGGCTCCTCTTATAAAACATAAAAAAAAAGAAAAACCTTGTCCCACGTTAAGTTTTTTATTTAAATGTTCTCAATAAACTTTTTGGGTGGAAAAAATTTGGACCGGAGAGTCGTTTTTAAACTTTCTACATTGGAGGTGTCTTGGATTTGAAACACTGAAAAAGGTTCGCTGCTATATAAAATAAAACTATATTTTCGCAGTATATTAATTTTTTCCAAACCCCACTTTTTTATTATTTACAGTGCTCAGAATATAATAAAATAGGTTGGTTTTGGGTGGAATACTCTTTTTTTAAAAATAAGAGTGAGTCTAAACTGATTTTAAACCTAAGAAAAACCATTTTTTCAGTGGGTGTAAAAGGGGGGTTGGGAAAGGCCAAATGCGAAACTTGTTTGGGATGAATTGCAATATTTAAATTCAAATTGGCGGGTTTCGCCCCTTTTATTTGTGTGTAAAAATAAAAATATAAAATCTTTGTTTAACCCTCCTCCTCCTAAAAAACCAATAAATGCGGTAACATTCAAGTCCATTGATTGTGAGGGCATTAAAGTGGTGTTCAGGGGAAATTTTTTTGGAACAGCAGGGGGACCAAAAACCAATCAATTTTTTTGTCACTGCGCCATAAAACAGGGTAGATCTTACAGTAAAATGTTTAAATTAAAACCCCTTTTAACCCAAACAAGCAGTTTTTAAAAAAATTTAATTTTAAGTAAAAAATAATACATGAAGGAAAAAAGTTTTGATCCCCTTTTTGTTTTTGTTTTTTTTGGGCCCACTGAAAAAAGAAAGGGAATAAAGTCAAAATTTTTAAAAGGGTAGGTTTATTTGAAAGTGAACAGAAAAAACAAAAAAAAATCCAGAAAAACCATGCCCAAAAATGTTAAAAAATTGATATGCTTTTTAAATGAGGGAAAAAAATTTTTTGACCCCCTTTTAAACAAAAATATTTCTGGCTCCCAGGTGTCTTTTAAATAACGACCCTGAGTTAGGAGCACACTTTTAAAAGGGAGGGCCCCTAACCCTTTTGTTTACCTGTTAAAGACCCCTGCCCAAGGAGCAAAATAAACAATCAATTCCAAACTCCCCCACCCAATGGCCAAGACAAAAGAGCTCCCCAAGGATGCCCAGGACAAGATTGTAGACCTCCCAAAAGGCCCGGGAATGGGTAAAAACCATCGCCAAAACAGTTTTGGGGGGAAAAGGTGAAAAACCATTTTGGTGCTATTTTTCGAAAAGGGAAAGGGAACACAAAATAACTAAATCTCCCTGGGCCGGGGGCTCCATGAAATACTCACCTCG